GTTCCCTCCTGCCCAAGTTGAGTTTGCTGCCAGGAGAGACCATTCCGAAGCCGGAGTCACAATTTATTGGGTGTGGAACTGAAGAGTTAGTTCAGGCGGTGCCCTCCCCGGCCCCTCCCATGGTGCTAAGATGGCGGCAGCAGCAGGCATTCCTTCCCCCTTGCTGGCGCCACTCAGTGGCAGGCCACACGCACTGGTTGTCCCTCCTGCAGGACCTGCCCTCAGGCTGTGGCCCTGCCCCGTACCTTACCCCAGCCAGCTGTGGGGGTTCCAGCAGGAGCAGGAGGATCTCATTTATCAAAAATCATACAAACATAGATCATTTTGTATGCCATAAACAATGAGTTTACCTGAAAGCTTGAGGTAAACTCAACATTTTAATTCTATGGTTGCAGGTCGACCATTTGAGCTCCGAATTTTAAAAGAACCAACAGCTCAAAATAAACCATGAACCATCAACCGCCACGTTTCCTCACACTCCAGACAAGTGTTATCACAGTAATCTTTAGACATAGGTACAAAAACTCACCAGACAAAAACTCACAATCAAACACAAACAATATAGGGAATTCCCGACACAATCTGAAATGCCAAGGCCTGTCTGTCAAGTGGGAACTTCCATTTAACAGCCGCTTCTCCCCACACTCCAGCACGGACACTGGATCACAATAACACCATTTTCTTTACTGTAAGTTAAACATGCAGCCAGCGTTTTTTCCCAAGGGACTCTGTTTCCTTATGTTGCAACAAAACTCACAAATAACAAAGATAAACAATTCAGAAAACTCGCAACACAAAATGCCAGGGCCTATCGAACAAATAGGAACCCACAGGGGACAAACACCACCCCAAATGGCACCTTAGACGGTGCCTCAAATGCTCTGCCACAGGGCTGGGAGGTTCATAAATGGGAATCGAAAGGGCCATTTTCTAAATGTTTTCTGTCTTGTTAGGCTGCCTCTTTCCTGGTCCTTCAGCAAGAGTGAGCAAGCTGCTTTTTAAAATTTTTTTTGAGGCTTTTATTATTTCTGCCCTCTGTTTTTCTGGGTTTCCAGCTTCTCTAGCACCCAGCCTTGAATATATGAGGCAAAAACAAAACCCAAGGATCACACTGCTGTGTTGTTTTCCAGGTCCTGAGGTCTGCCTGGCCCTTGGCACCTTTCAGAGTCTTCTTGTGCTTGTTTTGTATTTAACGTCCATGGTGTTTAGCTGTTCTTAGTGAGAGGAATAGAGAAAAGTACATCTACTCTCATTTTCCCAGAGCTAGACATCTCTGTTCTCTGTATTAGGTTTTTAAAATAAATAACTTAGAAGAAAAATTAGGAGAATAATTTAATAATCTTAGCACTGGAGAGAATTTCTTAAGCAAGAAACATAAAACCCATAAAGACAAACTAATAGACATTATTGATTATATGACTCTTTAAAATTTTTTAAAACAAAACACATAATAAATAAAGATCAAGATATAGGCTGAGGAAAATATTTGCAATACGTATGACAAGCCGAAAGTCATTTTCTCTAATACACAAATTGAAGAGAAAATGACAATCATCTCAAAAGAAAAAAATTTGCACAAGCAATTCACAGACCAGCAAATTCAAATGGCCGAAAGTGAAAAGCACTTGAAGATTTCTGAGAGTAGATTTTAAATGTTCTCATCACAAGAAAAGATAAATGTCAATAAAAACTCTGCATCCAATCATTCCAACATTGGGGAAATAGGGCATGATGGTGATCTCTATCACAGAATATCATGCATCTATTTAGATCATTTGTTGATCTATATTTTTATATGGATGGACCACCATCAAATAGAGTTAAGTGAAAAGAAGCAAGTGCAGTCGTAGTGGAATGTAAACATCATAATTCCATTTTATGTTTTTAAAGTATCAAATGTACATACATGATTGTATGTGTTCAAACACAGAGAAAGGTGGTAAGGATACAAAACAGGCTGTTAAAATTGGTTATTAAATAGTAACCAGGGCTATTATTATTGGGCGGAGGGCTAGGAATGGAGAAGAGTGGCTTAGAGATCATTAACTTTTCTTTATACATGCTTGAACTGTTTCACTCATTGCATATTCAATGTGCGTAATTTTGTAATTAAAAAATTAATCTATAACTAGGACTCTTAGAAATTATTCCAAGTAAAATATACCCCCAAACTATTGTCTAAAATACTTGAAATGCATGACTCTTTAAATCAATGAGTAAGCTGACAAGAAAGAAAGAGAAATTTTTAAAAGCCAAAAAGGATATGAAGTCATGAATTCCAGAGAAATGAGGAAGTGCTTAAACCAGAGGCCTCCCTGCGAGTATCTGTGAATGCCTGGTAATCTAGAGTTTGTGTTTTTATGGGCCAAGGCAAGGGCAAGAGAAAAGAGCCAAGACTCAAGCGAGGTGAAAAGTCAGATCAGAATCCCACGCACAAGGACCCCAAAATGTTGACACCTTAGTAAAAGGGTGAACCAGAAACACATACACATGCACAACTATGGTAAAGGAATTTGTCTATTGTTGGCTTTGGATCCAAGTGGGAAAAAAAATTCCTCCAAGAATATATAAATACAAGCCGGTTTCCTTGCATGGGAGCAGAGTAAGAACATTTTGCACATGTGTGTAATCTGAGAGATCTGAAGCTATGAATTTAACTCAAAATAGTGTGAGTTGTTGGGGTAAAATTTAAAAGAAACTGATTCTTAAGAATGTTCCTTTAAATGCAGGATTCTAAGACATTCGGTAGATAAAAGTGCCATTACATACATAAGCTTCCATTAAGTGAGCTCACAATAAAAAAAAGTACACATAGCGTAAGAAAACAAGATGAAAAAAAGTCACAAGAAACAACAAGCAGCAGAGATCCACAAAGACTTCAGATATTGGAATTATGGTATGCAGAGTATAAATGAAAGTGTTTGAGGAAATTAAATAAAATGAAAGGAAAGGAAACAGAAGAGGGCATTAACAGCAGCATAGCTAAGGGAAAAAAGAGAAGAAAAATGACCGGCATGTCTGAAAAAGTACCAAATAGTGTACCTAGAAATAAAATTTAGAACAAGAAAAAATAAAAACAAAAATACACTATTTGACTAACAAAGGATTTCTCAGAAGAGGAGCAATGAAAGGCTGAAAACGGTAGAATAATATTTCCAAAATCCTGGTAGAAAACAGCTGCTGTTAGCTCTGAATATACAATAAAACGTTCTTTTAAGAAGAGGAACAAAGACATTTCAGACAGCAAAAATTAAGAAAGTTAACCGCCACCAAATCCTCACTAGAGGAATTTCTAAAGAATGTCCTTTAGGAAGAAGAAAAATGAACTCAGAAAGAAGTCTAAGGTGCAAGAAAACGTGGAAAGTAAGGAAAATGGGATATATGGACAAATCTAAACTGATATTCAATGTATTAACAGTGACAAATATTTTATCTGTGGTGTTTAAGAAAAAACAAGCTATAACCAAAATTGATAGCATGTTAAAGTATTATAAAATTTGTATTGTTCAGAAAAAAAGGTAAAGACATTGACTAGCTTAGATCTTGTTAATTTAAATAATTATATTAAATGTATATAATTTAAATTCCAGAATAACCAGTAAAAGAACAAGAATGCATGATAAAACTTCCAAACTATTATAGTAGAGAGAATTAGAAAAATTGGAGTAAGAGAATACTTGATCAAAAGAAGAGAAAACGTTGAGGGGAAGAAACATAGAAAAAGGATTCCTGATTCTGTCTCTGGGGTAGGAAAGGCACACAATAAAGACATGCATTTGAAATGTAAAAGACAAGCCAATAAAGGTTTTAGAAGCCTACCCTTATTCTTGGGAATTGTTTATAATGCATTATAACTGATGAAAGACCAGGATTCAGTAGAAATCGGTAAGAAAAAGTCAGACAACCCTAGAGAACAATGAGTGAAAAACTTGAACAGGAAATCATAAGAGAGGATGTCCAAGGAGTTCATAAAGATATGAAAAGGTGCTAACCTTCATTAATATTCAAGATATTCAAATTAAGCCCACAATGATGTACTTCGACACTCCTATTAGGATGGTACAATACTATGTATTGCATAGATGTGGAACAATAGGAATTCTCAACTAACAATGGTAAGATTGCAAATTGGTACAAATTCTTTGGGAAATAGTTTGCCATCAGCTGGAGAAGTTGAAGATACACATCCCTCACGACCCAGCTCAGTGCATAACCTACAAGAATACCTCCCCTCGTGCTCCAGCAAACATGTACAAAGCATTCATTCATAGCAGCTTTCTTCTTAGTAGCTGCAAACTGTAAACAACTGAGACGGTACCATAAAGATATTGTGTATATTCATACAATAGATGACACAGCAATGAAAATGAAGAAAATATAGCTACACACAACAATGTGGATGAAACTCAAGAACATAATGTTGAGCACAAAAAGCCAGACACAAAAGAATACATCCCACGTGACTCTATGTAGATAGAACAGAAGCAGACACAAGCAAAAATATGTTTTGGGGAATACATACTTAGATTTTGAAAGTATGAAAAACAGCAAGGAAATTATTACCATTAGCTACCTTCATGAGAGCAGGAAGAGGCTGTGATTGGGAAAGAACAAGCAAGGGGCAGGAAGTATTGGAAATCTTTCCCCCAGTCTCAGAATAGTTTAATGAGTGATCACTTCATAATAGTTTGTCAAATTGAACATTAATGTTTAATACATATTTTTATTTTTACATATTTTTTGCACAATATATATTTTTACAAAAAGGAAAAGTAGTTCTTCCTCTTTTTCTCTCCTTTCTTTATTTTCTCCTAAAGCCATTAGGTAGGGCAGAGCAAGGTAGGCGTTTGCCCCAAGGGGATGGGAACCACGGTGGCTCTGTGTGGGTGTCTGAGCTGGAACAGGTCAGCAGGGCATCTCTGTAGGAGGCCGGCTGGCACAGGGCACTGGAGCCACAGGTGGGTGAGAATGCCCAGTGAAGGGGTAGGGAGCAGCGTGGCATGGAGAGTCAGCCTGAGCAGGGTGAGAAGGAATTCCCCTGGGGCTGGGAACAGCTGGCACAGAACCAGAACTGAGTGGGGTGAGGAGGGCGTCTATGCAGGGAAGCAGCTGAGTGAGGAGCCTCAGGGCTGGAGCAGAGCGAGGAAACTGTGTTCTCATACTGAGGAGGCCCGGTGTGGACTTTCAGAACTGAAGGAGGGTAAGGAGGGAGTCCACGGGGGTGGGAAGACAAGACCCAATACAAGGTAACAAAATCTGAGCAGGGTGAGAAGGGTGCCCATGCATGGGGAAGCCAGACTTGGAGGGTCAGAGTCCAAGGAGATGGAGGACATCCTAGAAGTTAGGGTGGTCTCCTATGAGGAGCTGGGACCAAGCACAATGAGAAGGGGTTCCCCAGAACTGGGCCGTCTGCTGCGCAGAATCAGAGCCTAAGCAGGGTGAAGAGGGCATCAACGCATAGGAGGAAACTGATGTGTCTTTTGGAGCCCAAGTAGGGTGAAACGGGCATCTATAGGGTGAGTGGCCCAGTGTGGAATGTCAGAGCCTGTTCAGGGTAGAGTGTGCTATTTTCTCAAAAGAATAAACAAATACACACACACACACACACACACACACACGTTTAAACATATATACATATCTGTATATATACTTTATAAAATGACATTTTAAAACATTTAAAAAGTTAAAATGGAACTAATAGTAATAGGTTATATTATTATTCACAATTATTCATTCCCTCCTTCCTTTAAGAGGATTACATCCCTGCCCCTTGCCTTGCGATGTCCAGAACCTCCTGTGGAAGGAATACACATCCCTGCCTCACTGACTTTGGGCTTGACTGTGAGCTGTGCTTTGCCCATTGGAACATGAGCAGATGTAACACATGCATTGTGAATTTTGCACTGTGGGTTTCTGCAAGCTCCTTTGTTTAACCCCTCTGCCACGAGAAGGAGCCTGGTCTATGTAGAGACTCTTCACTGTTGAGTCCCACAGCCTGGAGTAGAGCACCCGCCTGGAACAAAGCAGTAGACAACTCACAACCTAGATATATCTTGAACAAGAAAACACTTTTGTTGTGACAAGCCATGGACAGTTCAAAGTTACTTGTACCCCAACAAAAGCAAAACTAATAAAAATATAGTTGATCGTCATTATTTATTGTAGTTATATTCTGTAAAGTCACTGCAAACACAGAATTAGCAGATACTGAGCTATTGCTCTTTGGGGAAACACAAGGTTAGTCTCCTGTGAGCCTCTGGCCACAATATTTTTATTATCTAATCACTACATCACCTTGTGTGCTTCTGTTTAAAGACACCTTATATAATATATACTGTTGTTTCATTAACATTGAATCATGACCACCAGCACTAGAACTCATGCCTGAATGAAGCTTATCGAACACACGCATTTTCTTTGTAAGGCACATCATAGCCTTCTTGCACTTAGGAACACTAGACAGCACTTCAGCACAACTCTTGGGGGCCATATTAAACAGCAAAATCACCAGAAAAAAGCACAAAAATGTGAAAGGTGGCACTAAACAGATTGCAGAAAGGACACTGCAAAAAGGACACTTGTGGGCTGGGAATGGTGGCTCACGCCTGTAATCCTAGCACTCTGGGGGGCCGAGGCGGGAGGATCGTTTGAGCTCAAGAGTTCAAGACCAGCCCGAGCAAGAGCGAGACCCCGTCTTTACTAAAAAAATAGAAAGAAATTGGCTGGACAACTAAAAATATATAGAAATAATTAGCCGGGCATGGTGGCGCATACCTGTAGTCCCAGCTACTAGGGAGGCTGAGGCAGAAGGATCACTTGAGTCCAGGAGTTTGAGGTTGCTGTGAGCTAGGCTGACACCATGGCACTCACTCTAGCTCGGGCAACAAAAGCGAGACTCTGTCTCAAAAAAAAAAAAAAAAGATTCATTTTAGGGATAAAAAAGGGGTCACTGGATAATGGTAAAAGATCCAATTCACCAGGAATGCATTTGTATTTACCTAAATCAATAGAATCAGGACATATAAAGCAAACATGGATGGAATTACAAGCATAACTTGAGAAATCCGTGGCCATGTTGACAGCCCTCAATTCACCTTTCTTGATTATTGATAGGTCAAAAGGACAAAGAATTAGAAAGCTCTAAAATTTTTGAACACCACACTATGGAGATACACATGGAGTACTCGGAAGAGTACTATTCTTCCTAGGTATCAGAATGTAGACAGCTGAGCAGGAGTTATTTAGAAGATAATGTTTTTGGAGCAGTCTTACTTACTTACTCTGCCTGAACTTAGGGCAAGAGTGTTAAAGAGATGCCTGGAGCTAGTTGTCCTCCTCAAGATCTGCCCAGTGACTGAAGCTAAAGTGCATTTCTGATTGAGTAGCCATGCACCAGAACACGCCGTGCCTTCGAGACAAGAAGAGGTATGAGCAAGGAGCTCCCAGCCATGGAAACAGGGCCTGGGGCTGGGTGAGCTCCCAGTGTGGGAGAATCGTAGGGTGTTGTGGGATGTAGCAGTCATAGTGGGGCCTTATATGTAGTTTCCAAAAGTTGTAACCTGAAAGTTCACACCGTTCCCCCCAGCTCCTGGCCATCTGTAGACCTTCCAATTGCAAAATGTTGCTCAGATTACTGCAAAGAACAACCTCTGCCGTTTTGGGAAGCTGGACAAAAAGGTAGGCCTTGGGAAGTACGGACATTTTAACAATATTAACTCTTCCAACTACAAACATGAGATGTCTTTCCATTTATTTGTATCTTTTCCAATTTCTTTCATTAATGCTTTGTGGTTTTCAGTGTACACATCATTCACCTCCTTGTTTAAATTTACCCTCGAGTATTTTTGGTAAATGGGATTTTTAAAATTTATTTTTCACATAGTTTGTTGTTAGTGTACAGCAATGCTACTGCTGTTGTGTGTTGGCTTTGTATCCTGCAACTTGACTGAATCCCGTTATCAGTTCTAACAGTGTTTTGGGTGGATCTTTAGGGTTTTCTTCTGTATAGGATCATGTCATCAGCAAACAGAGGCAATTCCACTTCTTCTATTCCTACCTATTTGGATGACTTTTATTTATTTTTCTTGTTAATTACTCTGGCTAGGACTTCCGATACTATGTTGATTGAAAGTGGTGACAATGGGCATTCTTGTCTTGTTCCTGATCATAAAGAAAAGCTTTCAACTTTTCACTGTTGAGTGTGATAGCTGTGGGCTTGTCATATATGGCCTTTATTGTATTAAGGTACATTCCTTCTCTATCTAATTTATTGAGAATTTTTATTATAAAAAGATGTTGAAGTTCATCAAGTGCATTTTCTGCATCTATCGAGATGATCCTATGAATTATGTCCTTTCTGTTAATATGGTGTATCACATTTATTGATGGTTCTTGAAATGTTTGGGGGAATTCAGCTGTGAATCCATCAGATCCTGGGCTTTTCTTTGATGAGAGACTTTTAATTACTGATTCAATCTCCTTATTCTTGATTTATTCAGCTTTTCTATTTCTTCATGATTAAATTTTGGTAGATTATACACCTCTAAGAATTTATCAGTTTCTTCTGGGTTATTCAATTTGTGTATAACTGTTCACAATCCCTATCAAAATTCTATGACATTTTTCACAGAAATTGAAAAAGCAATCCTAAAATTTGTATGGAACCACAAAAGACCCTGACTAGCCAAAGCAATCTTGAGCAAAATGAACAAAGCTGGAGGCATCACACTATTTGATTTCAAAATATACTACAAAGCTTTAGTAATCAAAGCAGCATCGTACTGGCATAAAAACAGACATATAGATCAATGGAACAGCATAGAGAGACCAGAAATAAACCCATGCATTTATGGTTCATTGACTCTCAATAATGGTGTCAAGAACACACAATGAGGACTGTCTCTTCAATAAATGGTGTTGGGAAAACTGGATTATCAGTGTGCAGAAAAATGAAATTGGACCCTTGTCTCACACCATATAAAAAATCAATCAGAATGGACTAAAGATCTAACTGTAATGACTGAAACTACAAAACTAGAAGAAGACATAGCGGGAAAGCTCTGTGACATTGGTCTGGGCAATGATTTTTTGGATATGATCCTGAAAGTACAACAGAAGCAAAAATAGACAAATGAGATTGCATTAAACTAAAAAGCTTCTGCACAGTGAAGGAAAACAATCAACAGAGTGAAGAGACAACTCACAGAGTAGAAGAAAATATTTGCAAACCATACGTCTGATAAGAAGTTAATATTCAAAATATATAAGGAATTCAAACAACTCAATAGCAGCAAAACAAGTAGATCGATTTTTATTTATTTATTTATTTTTAAAATGAATACACAGTAAATATTTTATTTAAGTACAGTCATGGGTTGCTTAATGACAGGGATACATTCTGAGAAATGCATCATTAGGCGATTGTGAGGTACATCATAGATTGTACTTACTCTATGATGTATTCACAGAAACCTAGATGGTATCTACTACTACACAACTATAATCTCATGGGACTACCGTTGCACATGAGGTCTGTCCTTATGCTGCATGCACTTGACCATACATGAGGGAACAAACCAGTTAAGTGTCAAAAACCAGTTCGAAGGAGAACTCAAAAAGCAGATACATATATAGGCAATCAGGAACTTTGAAATAAATGCTAACAGACACTGGTCAGGGTAATAGTTAATTGCATCTCTACTAGACAAACCTAACTTCCATCTTTATTGTTTTCTACAAGTCACAGAGTTGTAAAATAGCTCCAGGACAATGAAAGGCAAGACAACCTGGAAAAGTGAGCTAGAAAAGACACCAACCAAATTTTTTTTCCATTTCAAAGTCTTTCACAATTTTTCCTGATAAAATTGTATGCAAAATGTTTTGATGCACATTTTCCTGGAAATTTCATCCTTAACTTTTATCACGTTTTCAGAACTACTGGTTTGCCAGAAAAAGGCTCAGAACCATTGTTCTTGTCACAGCCGACTACCCAACGGTCCGGGAACACTTAGTTTCAAGGCCCAGGCTAAATGCCACCTGAGTCTTTGAGGCCTTCCACCACCACGTCTCCTCTATTCAATTGCCTCCACATCTGTTTTCCCTAAGTACCTTTTACTAGCGCACTCAGTACACCGCATTTATCACTTTTTATTTGTTGGCTTTCTTGCATAATTGAATTTTTAACTCTTTGAGGACAAGGAGTAGAAAATGACTTAATTTTAGAATATAAGTCCTCACGTTCACTATCCGTTGGCAGTCAAGGCTCAACTTCACTCTGCGAAGTAAAGCGCTTTTACCCACTGCCTACCGCTTCTCTCGGCATCCGTACTTCCGCACGGACGCCGTCAACAGCGGGGCGTGCCCCAAACCTCCCAACGCCGGGCGCACGGCGCCCCCACTCCTTGGAAACCGGAACTACAGGGCCGCGGGCGGACTTTGCGCGTGCGCACAGAGAACTAGGCCAAGCGAACTGATGGGTGCGTGGAGGGAACGGGGCGAGCGGGACCACGGATGGCAGAATGGACTGCGAGGAAAAGGACTGAGAAAAATTTAGACTTCACCCAAGCTGAACGACCCTGTAGGCCACTTGCAACTTACTCCGTTCAATTCCCAAAATTCGGGGTCAGGTACTGCGTCCTCCAGCCCTTCCCGGCTCCTGATCCTTGTAGTCGTGGTTACTCCCGCGTCATAGCACGAGCGACACCGTTCTCTCGTCCCCGTCGAGAAAGACGAGATCAATTTTTTAAAGAAGACATACTAATGGCTAACAGGTTTATGAGAAAATGCCCAGCATCGCTAATCATCAGAGAAATGCAAATTAAAATCATGATGAGATATCACCTCACACTTGCTGGCATGGGTGTTATCAAAAAGATAAGAGATGACACATGTTGGCAAGGACGTGGAGAAAAGGGAACGCTTGCACACTGTTGGTGGGAATATAAATTAGTACAGCCATTGTGGAGAACAGTATAGAGATTCCTCAACAAAACTAAAAATAGAATTGCCATATAATTCAGCCATCCATCTGGATATATACCCAAAAGAAATGAAATCAACATGTCAAAGACATATCTACACTCATGTGTTCATTGCAGCATTATTCACAATAGCCAGGGTATGGAATCAACCTAAGTGTCCAGCAACAAGTGAATGGATAAAAATGTGGTATATATTTATGATGGAATACTATTCAGCCTTTAAAAAGAAGGAAATTCTGTCATTTGCAACAACATGGATAAACCTGAAGGCTATTATGCTAAGTGAAATAAGCCAGGCACAGAAAGACAAATATCACATGATCTCACTTTTATGTGGAATGTAAAAAAGTTGAACTCATAGAAGTAGAGAGTAGAATAGTGGTTATCAGAGGCTGAGGGGTGGCATATGGGGAAAGGGGAGATATTGGTCAAAGACACCAAGTTTCAGTTAGACAGGAGAAATAAGTTTCTGAGACCTATTGCATAGCATGGTGACCATGGTGGTGACCGTGGTGCACACTGCAACCTCAAACTCCTGAGCTTCAGTGATCCTCCTGCCTCAGCCTCCTGAGTAGCTGGGACCACAGGCCCATGCCACCACACTCGGCTGATTTTTTAAAATTTTTTGTAGAGACGGGGTCTCGCTATGTTGCCCAGGCTCTTCTCAAATGCTTGGCCTCAAGCAATCCTCCCACCTTGGCTTCCCAAAGTGCTAGGATTACAAG